AGACAAGACACCAAGAAGAGACATGAAAATCGTAATGGGCGACTTGAACGCCAAAGTGGGAAGTGACAACACAAACAGAGAACTCATCATGGGCAGACATGGCGTAGGAACCTGCAACGAGAACGGAGAGCTGTTTACAGATTTCTGTTCATTCAACGACCTCGTCATAGGGGGCACCATCTACCCACACAAGAAGATCCACAAGACAACGTGGACTTCACCAGATGGAAAGACTGATAACCAGATAGACCACTTCACCATAGACCGCAAGTGGAGACGGAGTGTGATGGATGTCAGAGCAAGGCGCGGCGCCGACGCAGCCTCAGACCATCAGTTGCTTGTGGCAACAGTGAAGACCAAGCTGCGATCCTTCTGTGACTCATCCGGCAGACCACATCACAAGTTCAATATACAGTTTTTGAAAGACAGTAAGAAGAAAGAAGAGTTCAACTGTGATGTCAAGAACAAGTTCGAAGCGCTAGCAGATCTGGTTAAAGAGACAGTAGAGAACCACTGGGCTGAACTACAGAAGACCTGGAAGACCGCTTGCACCAATGTTCTGGGGAAGAAGGAGAGGGAGCAGAAAGAATGGCTGTCACAAGAAACGTGGAAGAAGATTGAAAAGAGGAGAGAACTAAAGCAGCAGATAAACAGATGTCAGGACCAACAAGAGAAGTCAGAACTTAGAGCAGCGTACTGGGAATCGAACCGAGAAGTGAAGAGGAGTGTCAGACAAGACAAGAGAGAGTTTGTACACAGCTTGACAGAGGAGGCAGAGACAGCAGCAAGTCAAAACAACATGAAGAGACTATACGAAATAACACGTGCCTTGTCAGGAAAGAACTTCAACCCAAGCAAGCCAGTCAAGGACAAGAACGGAAGAACCGCCACAAGCGATGCAGACCAGAGGACACGATGGGTGGAGCACTTCGAAGAAGTTTTGAATCGACCACCACCAGCAGTGACTCCTGACATACCTCCAGCGGAGGACCCCCTTCGTGTCAACACCAGCCCACCAACCAAGGCAGAGATCACCAAGGCTATCAAGTCCTTGAAGAACGGCAAGGCAGCAGGTCCTGACGGCATCCCTCCAGAAGCTCTCAAGGCAGATGCGGCAGCAGCAGCAGAGATGTTACATCCTCTCCTACTGAAGATCTGGGAGGAGGAGCAGGTACCTGCCGACTGGAAGTTAGGCTACCTCGTGAAGCTGCCCAAGGAAGGTGACCTTTCCCAGTGCGGCAACTGGCGAGGAATCATGCTGCTGTCCATCCCCAGCAAGGTGCTGACCAGAATCATCCTGGAGAGACTGAAAGAGGCGCTAGACATTAGACTTAGAACAGAACAGGCAGGATTTAGGCAAGACAGTTCATGTACGGACCACATCGCCACCCTGCGCATTATCATCGAGCAGTCCATCGAATGGCAGTCTCCGCTGTACACGACCTTCGTCGACTTCGAGAAAGCCTTCGACAGCGTGGACAGGGAGACCATTTGGAGGTTGATGCAGCACTACGGAGTCCCACAGAAGCTCATCAGCATCATCCAACAGTTATATGAAGATTCATCCTGCCAGATCATCCATAACGGGAAGCTGACAAACCCCTTCACAGTGAAGACCGGAGTGAGGCAAGGCTGTATGCTGTCACCGACAATCTTCCTGATCGTCATGGACTGGATCATGAGGAGAGCAACAGAGGGCACCAACACCGGCATCCAGTGGACCTTCACCAAAAAATTGGAGGACCTGGACTTTGCGGACGACACCACCCTTCTGTCCCACACGCTACAGTATGCACAGTCCAAGCTCATTCGTCTCGCCGAGGAAGCAAACAAGACCGGCCTGAAGATTAACACCAGGAAAACAGAGGTGATGCGACTGAACAACAAGAAGAAAGAACCATTGCAGCTGCAGGGAGAAGACATCAAGGAAGCTGACCGCTTCGTTTACCTTGGAAGTGTGGTCAGCACAGACGGCGGCGCAGATGAAGATGTTAGGAGCCGGATCAACAAAGCAAGGCTCGCCTTCAACACTCTGCGACCCATCTGGAACTCCAAAGCCTTATCCCAGCGCAGCAAGATCCGCATCTTCAACACCAACGTGAAAGCAGTCCTACTGTATGGGTCCGAGACATGGCGAGTAACCAACACCATCACCAACAAGATCCAGACTTTCATAAACAAGTGTCTGAGACACATTCTCAACATCAGGTGGCCTGAGAAGATCTCCAACACAGAACTATGGGAAAAAACCAGCCAAAGCCCGGTCAGTGAAGCCATCAAAAAGAGAAAGTGGGGCTGGATAGGCCATACCTTGAGAAAGCCAGCAGAAAACATCACAAGGCAAGCCTTGGAATGGAACCCACAGGGAAAAGGGAAAGTGGGGAGACCAAAGCAGACGTGGAGAAGATCTGTTGAGAGTGAAGCGAAGGCCGCCGGAGTGACGTGGACCCAGCTGAAGAGAGCCGCCCAAAACAGAGTTCGTTGGCGGGGTGTTGTTGCAGCCCTATGCTCCACCAGGAGTCTACAGGAATAGTAGTAGTAGTATAATGTAGCACAATCAAGGAACATTTGGATGTGGTCACATATTTACTTTATATCCCGTCTTGGATAAACATTGAAAAACTTTGAGCCAAACTCTAAAAGATTTAAAACCTTTTGGCAGCTGGAAAGATCTAGGAGGGGATTACTAATGTTTAGTTGTTGGCAGAAATGTCATAAAAGGGTACATATTAAATGTTTTAAACCTTTATCAACAGGAGCTAGCTCTTCTTGCAATAGCAGCAGAAAAAAAAAAGTTTTACGATGGTTTGGAAAAACCCAGAACCCCCGACACAGAAACACTGATGGGAGGAGTAATACTGAGTCAAAGGAAACCAGAGGTTTTTTTAAAGTCTGGGAATTGATCTTAAATAGAAGACAGCAGTCCGTCACTTATCGCGGGGGTTACGTTCCAGACACCGGGTGAAAATCTGCCAAGTAGAGACGTGCTATTTATTTTAGTATTTTTATTTATTTTGAGGCTTTCTAAACCGTTCCCACACTCTTGCAATGTTCTTAACAGTGTTCTAAACTCTTAATTTTAACAACATGCTTATATGTACTGTACAGTACTGCCAACTTTTAAATGGGTACTCACCAGTGAAGATACTACAACTTGAAGGAAGAGTTCAGCTTCAGGATTATTTGTGACTTTCCTGCCAGTTCTCTGAGTTTAATGCGTAGATCAATACTTCGGATTTGGTGTTGAAAAACTGTTTTCACCCCCTCGGTTCCTCCGCCAGTGTTCGCTCTCTCCATTGCAGTTCTTTGAGTTTCAGCAGGTAGCAGCGTCCAGAAGCACTGTTGGCTTCTGGGCCGTGTAGTTCTTTTGTCTTGCTTGTCCAAAACATTTTTTGTTTTGTTTTATGTCTTATTGGTCGGTTCCCGATCTCGTACGCTCCCGTTAACTTTTTATCCCGTACCGTCCCAATCACGTGATATTAAAGTTGACAATCGTGTTTTACGTTGAAAACCCACGAAAGAGTGAATCCGCGAAAGTCGAACCGTGAAGTATCAAAGAACTACTGTAAATATAAAATGTTTTTACATATACCCATATGAAATTCATTCAGTAACTATGTTTTTGTATGAGACCAGTTGTTTTTCAGTTTTTTAGGACGTACGGTTCAGATTGTAACTTAATATGCAACATGGATTTTGTAACTTGTAAATGAAAATGATAAATATTAAATAAAAGAACAAATGTTTCAGAAACAGAGCTACAAAGTTGCATCCTGTGGACCCGTCCTGTGGATGGTCTGGACCCGTTCATGGCAAAAACCAACGCAGACATCCTGCTTTTAGTTTTCTACGTCGCTTTACAACCGCTGTTACACCATTTTCTTTAATTTAATCTCAGTTTGTATGATTTATTTTATAATTGTCTGCTGTTGTCATCACTCTTTGTTGAAATCAGGTGTCTCTTGTAAATGAGTCCCCGAGGCTCAATGAGACTAACCTGTATAAATAAATGTTCAATGAATCCTCAAAGTTCTGCAGAGGAACTATTTTGAAAAAAGGATAACGTCCGGTTTATTTACAAGAAGGGGGCGGGGCTAAAACCTGTACTGGAACCAGCCTATGGGAGCACTGGTCCCATTCAGGCTTCAACTTCCAGGTTCCTGTAGGATGGATACTTACTGTCGGCGTCCAAATGAGATTTAAAACTATTGTCAGAAATACCAAAACATAAAGAAAGTCAAATATCCAGCATTAAAAACATATCCCAAGAGATTTAACCTTTTAAGACACTCAGCAACTGTATAAGAAAGAAGCAAAAAATAATAAAAATTAGGAATAAATACTAAATTTAAAAAAGTTAAGTCACGTTATCTGGACGGGTTCAAAAAAATTGTAGAAACATTTTGTCTTTCATTGAAAGACGGATGAAAAGATGAAATGTTTCTTTATGTTTTTGTTTTTTTGAACCCGTGAGGACCAGACAGCTTAAGATTTATCTGGATTATTGAGCACGCACCAGAATAATAAATATACATTTTTAAAGAACTGAAATTATAAATTAGGAAAAATTAAATAAAATGTTTAGATTTAAAGCATTTTAAAAAGCTAAAACATTTTTAGTAAAATTAGTATTTTATTACTTCTAATAATAATAATGCTAATAATAATAATAATAATCCAAACATTTTGGACTTTGAACTTTGTTTTATAAATAAAATTTCTGTCAGAATGTAAAATAATTTATGTTCTCATTAACTTTTTTAAATAAATATAAAATATTTTCCATCATTTGTGTAAAAAAAAAGACCATTTAATATAATTTATGTGTGAAAGCTGCAGGACTCGGTTCTAATTCTATTGGTTCCGGACTGAGTTTGCAGCAAATCGCAGGCCGGATTAGGAGTTAATCCCGGAATCCGGATCACATGGACCCGCATGTGGACAACTTTGGCCCACTCCAGTGCGTACAAGAACCCATCTGCCCCACCCAGAACCATTACCTGCCCAGCTCCGAACCCAGGGAGTAGAAGTCCTCCACCGTCCCGTCCCGCCTGGACCCGTCCACCCAGAACTCCACCGGCTCCGAACCAGGCCGGGACGTCGGCATGGTCGGAGCGGGACTCCTCAGATCCAGCGCCAAGAGGACTTAAAGTCCGAGAAACACCAGGACCAGGACCGGGTCTGATGGGACCCGATCAGAACCAGGAGTGCAGCAATCCAGATCAGATCACATGTAAATCCAGTTCGGTAAAACCCGCATCAGAGGAACGGAGTGGGGGGGGCGGGGGGTCCTGGTGGGTTCTAATCCAGACTGAGGAGGTGGGGTGGGGGGTGAGGAGGAGGAAGGGGAACCGCCTGGTCCCTCAAACTCTGGATCAGGACCGTTTAAGATGACATCAAAGAACCGATCCGAACAGACCAGCTCCTCAGTCCAGACCAGGATCCGGACGCATCGAGTCCAGATGTGGCGCAGCTTCCATCGGGCCTCGGAACCTGTCGGGTGTCGGTTCGGCTCAGTCCGTCCTCCTCCTCAGTGAAGATTTCCGTGTTTTCCTGCAGAGACGGTCCCCGCGGAGCTCCGCAGCCTCCGGGCGGAGCTCCAGCCCTCAGAGCCGTGACAGCACCGGGGCTGGTTCCGTGTTCGGACCAGCAGGACGCAGGCAGATCCCCGGGCCAGCTCGGAGCGGGGGTTCGGTACTGGATGCTGCAGGGTTTGGATCCCGGGCGGGCAGGGCTGCTCCAGATGTCCGCTGGATCTGCGGGGGGAGAGATGCTGCTAAGATCTCACAAGCCCCGCCCTTCCTGCCGCCACATCGACCAATCACAGGGCAGCACGGGAGCTGGGCCGCGCTCCCATTGGCCCGCGGCCCCGTCACTCTGTCCGCAGCCTAAATGCACAAATAACCCAAATACATAAATGTGCATTAGCGTGACATCTGGAGGCTTTGATGCTGCGGGAATCAAACCAGCAACTCACACGTTGCCGCACGTGCGTCGCATCACTCAAACACTGCACGTGAAAAAAATACAACTCAAACAAACACCAGAGTTTCTCTTCCATCAAAACAGATTAAAATGAGTCAAGAATATTTAGACAAACTATTTATTTTAATTTACTCCCTGTTTTGTTTTAACGCTCTCGGCTCACATCCAATTTAACTCAACGTCCCGGAGCCGTTCTTGTGTTTGCTGAAGTTAAATGGCTTCTTGGATCAGATTGATCCTAAAAGTTAATTGCACATCCAGCGTCTCATTAAAACACGAGTTATTTTGCTAACTTTTTTAATTTGGGTTGTGTGGAGTGATTATGATCAGTCAGTGTCCTACCTGCAGTCAACGATGTAAAATTAGGAAATCATTCATTTACACTTGTGCAACAGCTGCTTGTTTTTAAGTAAATTTCCTCATATTGTTTAAACATTAAACAGTTTATTTTAAAACAAGTTCTTTATTGTCATTTGCATCTTGAGGTGGAAAGAAATTGTGTACTCAGGATCCCAGTTACACCCAAAAATAGCAAAAATATAAAGTATAAAAAAAACATTAAAGACCTAAGATATACGCTAAACAATAATAATGTAATATAATACGGTGCATTAAACAGCAGCCTGAACATGAGTCTGTTGTGAGCAGATGGGTAACTTAAGGTAAGCAATCAGCAGCATGGATAATCAGCAGCATGGATAAAGGGACATTTCACCAGTTAAAGTACAACAACAACAAGCCTATAGAAAGTTTAAATCACTGGTTAGTTACAGTTATGTGCTTTATTCCTGTGAAGATGAGAGGACGTTTGTGAAAGAATAATGGCCCGTTAGAGAGAAGAACGACTCCTGATGAGCTCGGCTGATCGGTTTGAGCATCGGGGCAGAAAGTCTTGCGCTGCCAGAACTTTAAGGTTCTTTTGAACCTGCGGTCCGTCACAGGGATGTGGTAGATGAGCGTCATTGTGGCAGCAAAGACCCTCTGGCCCACCTGCCTTAGAGGAAAAGACCTTCAGGTCCTTTAGACGGTTTCTTTGTGTTGAAACGTTTCATCTTCCATCCAAGACTTCGTTAGTCAAAGGAGCCACCTAAAATAAAGATACCTTCATTGACAGTTTTTGGCAGCGATGTTTTTTGTTTATTTTCATTCTTGTTTATTTGTTTTTGTTTGTTTGGTCCAGCTTTGTGTTTCCGGTTATTTCAGACATGGCTTCAGACTCCAACGCTGTATTTTCTGTGCATCCTCCACGTGTTTTCACCTGCAGTTTAATATTGGCAATAAAAGGCACAAATGACTGACAGGTTCACGCAGCAGCCGTCTGAGTGGTGGTGGGTTTCTGAGGTTCTCCTGGGCCCACGTGGTTCTGCTGACACTGGTGTGTCTTATGTAGTGCCCCGAGGGCTTGAAGGTGATCCAACTCTAGTTTACTGGTATTTAAGCACATTTAGAATATTTCCATTGTAGACGTTACAAACCTGGATTTTAGAAAAAGTTATACAATTTCTTAATTTTTATTTTATATTTGCAGAGCCGGGCAGCACGGTGGCGCAACTGGTAGAGCTGCTGCCTCTCAGCGAACAGGTCCCTGGTTCAAACCCCAGTCCAGGTGCCTTCTGGGTGGAGTTTGCATGTTCTCTCCGTGCATGCGTGGGTTTTCTCCGGGTACTCCGGTTTCCTCCCACAGACCAAAAACATGCATGTTAGGCTGATTGGTAACTCTAAATTGTCCCTAGGTGTGAGTGAGAGTGAATGTTTGTTTGTCTCGTTTGTCTCTATGTGTCCCTGTGATGGACTTGCGACCCGTCCAGGGTGTACCCCGCCCCTCGCACAGTGATTGCTGGACATGGGCACCAGCGACCCCCGTGACCCAAAATGGAATAAGCGGGTAAAGATAATGGATGGATGGATGGATTTGCAGAGCCCACGTTGCTCTGCAGTGCACAGGCTCTGGTTCCAAAAGTATAACATGGAAACTTGCATACCTGCTTTCAATTTCTAACATCAAGGAAAGGTGGGAACACATACATAAATAATAAATATATTTTTGTAAAGTAGCAAAAATTAACAACAAAGTCCATGCTCAATAATCTAGGTATAAAATCCAACATTTTTCAGTCAGGTCATCTGGACAGTTTCTTTTTTTGTGCTGAAACGTTTCGCCTTCGATCCAGAAGGCTTCATCAGTCAAGCAAACACAACAAAACTGATTCTTCCTCCAACAGCTTACTCCAAAGTGGAACAAACCAGTTCTGCTTGTGATAAGATGGTCTCATGGTACGCCCCTCCTCCATTGCCGGCCCTCTTCCTTGTTGACAGTCTTGTCAAACTGGTTGAAAACAACAAAGCAGACCTGGATTATTGAGCATGGACTTTATTGTTTTCAACCAGTTTGACAAGACTGTCAACAAGGAAGAGGGCCGG